CATATACACTGTTTTGCAATTGGTGTGTAAAATTTTTGAATGGTTCACGAAATGCACTGTGAGACGTTGAGGGTAGTGCCTCCGTCTCGCGGTGCAGCATACATTGCTGGACCTGTTCAACACCTTCCCCTCACTGGGAACCACCCTCATGTGGTCAGGTGTCAGTTGCACCCTGTGGACGCAAATCGTGCTACCCTGCTCCAAGTGACAATTCGAAGTCGGAGCTTAGGGTCCTGAGCAAAGCCTGACAATAAAGTACTAGGAGGTGTGACACTATCGGAAAGATTCTATCTCTCTGATGAATTGACATCTGCCCCCTTTTTGTTGCGTCAAGAACCGTCAGTAGCGTTTGATGTGAACGACGGAATGAGTCACTTGCATTTGGATCAACACTGGGCAGGCCGTGGAAGGCAGCACATGATCTCATGCATCACACCGTCAAACTTGGCCCTGAGAAGACCCCGCACATCACTTTGGGATGTGTGAGGTGGAGGGACAGGAGGGCAGACTGCACCGACTGAAGAGGGAGGCGGGGAAGAGAGGCAGTGTCTCATCCTTGTTGACATTTCGCCAAGCCCAAAGTAATTAGCACCGTTTCGTGGCATTGGCATTGGTCAGTCGCACTACCACAGACAGAGTGGAGGAGAAGACGCAACTGGGGAAGATGCAGACGAAGCAGAAAAGGGTGTGGGTGGGGCCAAGTGCATTTGTTTTTTTCTTTAGGCAAATTATCAGATTAATTTGGAACACGTAGGTAACTTGCCTCGTGTTGGAGAAGGAACTGAGTGACACGAATTTCGATACTACTTATTGCAACTCTGGGAATGCTTTAAGGAGTGTTTTGTAGGCACTGCTTCTTCGTCACTCAAATCCGCGAAAGCTTACTCGACTACTTTGTGGGACACATCATCTCTCCAGTTTAGGAACCCACGTCTTGCGATTTCCACCAGTAAACTTGCAAAATGTGGGGCAAAGTGGTGGGACGAACAGGCTTTCTCATATTGGAAAGATGTTTAGTATTTCATGCTTTAAAATGAATAAGACGAGTGCCATTAACCAATCAGCATCACCATTTGTTAAGGAAGTGTGGCATATCTTACCAACTGTGGCACACAGTAAGTACTTTAATTGTTTAAACTCTCGTCTGATTGTTTTTCGGAGGTTTTCTTTACCCCTCCACTTTTCCTAACTCCGCTATGTGACAAGTCACAAAGTAATGTTGCATGACAGGCAGGGCGGAAGAACCACACAATCTAAATGGCAGTAATATTTGAACATTGCAAATGTGTCGAAAAACGTCAAGAATGTACGCAGCCTGGCCTGTCCGATGTCAGGCGACCTGTCTAAAAATTGGGTGTCAGTAAAGGACCTGTAATTTGTTCTTGAATCATTGCCTATGGAAGACAGCAAAAAGAAGGCGCCAGTTTTGTAGTTTATAAAACAAAGGTTGGCTCTTAAATATGCACCAAAAACAGCTCGTAGTTAACGTCCAAGGTCAAAGTATTTTGTTTTCCTTTTGTATAAAGAGCAAAGGGTGTGGTTTGTGGGGGTAGTGTGAGCGTGCAGGCCATGTATGCTCTGGCTCATGCCAAAACATCTGCTCGTGGACCGGGCACCACCACGACCGGGTGCGTCAGTGGCAGATGTGTGGTTGGTCATCCCTGAAGCACTTAGCTCCTCCTGAATGTCCGCTTGCCGCGTAAACGAGTGTCCTGTCAGAGCACATACCTTGTTTGATGGCGTCTTTGGCGCCACTGCAAACTTTTGTAGTTTAAACAGCATCAGAGCGCCATCTGTGATTTGATTGACCTTTTACTGGAGGGGACTTACGACTTAGCAAAATGCCTTTGTAGAGAGAGTAGAGTTAATATGCAAAAGGGCAAATCTTCATTCGTGGAGGCGATTTCGCTTGCCATTGCAGTTGAAGTGTACCAAGGCAGACTGCTGGGGCACACCATCAATCCACGTCGTTGTTGCACTTCGAGTTTGACTATGGCATTCAAATGTGGAAATTTATCGGAGCACTCACTGCACCGGGTTTTGTTAGTCCAACAGTCAGTCTCATGGGTGGTACCAGTCGGCTGTTCGGAGAAATGATCACGTTGATGGATGTGGAGCGATGACGAGGGGTGGTAGTCAATGAGAGTAGTGCGATCCTCCGGCTGAGTGATTGAGCGTCTCATCCCCGTACCAAATGGGCTTAAGTCCTTTCGTCCAGGTAGATGTCTGGTATTCCTATGTCTGTGTTCTCAGGAGGTTTGGACACTGTCCACTGTTCCATGCGTACCATATTGTTTAACGGCATATGCCCGGGTCAACAGCATCCGCCCTGGCTAGTGGTAATGGGTACAACTGCGCGAATGGTGTAAAAAAGCAGCACTTTGGTTGGAAATGCTGTAGAAAGCGGTGTGCATTTATAACTCTCATAAACACTTTCTGATCCCACAAGTTAGTCCACGAAATTCAGCCTTTGAATTAGGGATGAAGGAAGGATTTTCTAAGTAAAAGGGACCTAACCAACCAAAACCTGTTTTGCTTGATTTATAGAAAGCAGTGACATCTTTGCCAAGAGCCCGAATTTGCCGTCACAGAGAGAATCGCTACGAGCCAACCGCACGGTCACCTCGGCAGAGGAGGACTTGGATTTATTCACTAAAACACAGGTTAGTTGCAGAAAAGTAGGTGAAATCTGTGGAAGAGCCTAGCTTGATCCTATTTAGGTGCCATCATATTGTGCGCGAAACCAATTTACTTGAATCCTTCCATAAGTTTGCACGAAATATCAGCTGGGTTTCGTAAAAGATTTCTGCTTATGCACGCACTTCAGCATGAATGACATGGGGTCAGTGCAGACGATGAAGGCGCGAGATTTGCAACCGCCTTCTTTCATTCAAAGTCGCAGACTTTACCAAACTGAGGGACTGCTAACATTCAGCCCTCATGGCCATGCTGTTGATAGGAAAAACGATGAAAGAAGGAACAGCTTTTCTAAAGCAATCCTTAACCTTAATTTCCCGTTTGATAATGGGATTTATCAAAAATTTAAACAACTTGAATCTGCCTTCGGAAGCAACTTTTGAAACGAGGAAGGTCAAAATTTGATGATTCAATCTTATGATCTATTAGTGGAGGGTGTAGATCTGCTACCTATTTCATGTATATGAGGAGTGGTTATAGCCTCTGTGTTTGATCATGGGATGTTCCAAAACGTCGCGAATTTTGCGGTTTCACTTGGCAGGTGAATAGCATGTTTGCTAGTTTTAATTAGTATGTCGAAGAAGCGCTCTTTCCTCGTTTTGGTTGAAATTTTATAATGGAAAAGCCACTTCATGTGTCATAAATTCCTCCCCCAAATCAGTAAAAGTCGTGATTAAAGGTGCACAGCTCCTCATTCCTGTTCGTGTCTACAGAAAGTGCTCTTGACTAGGCTTCGGTCCTCTCCCAACAGAGAAGAGTAGGTTTGTCCCAAAAGGCGGACTTCTTCAGTTCCCTTTAGGAATGCCTAACCTTATGAGGAAAGAACACTCCCCTCCTTTTCGGTCTTTTGAAAGACCTTCTACGTTGCGTTTCCATTGAAAGCGGTAAAAATAAGTGAGATCGCCTTCGCCGCTGAACGTGTCAAGTGACTGTTTACAATCCAGCGCCTCGGTGACGGACAGATATGAAACTTAGGGGTGGATTGCATTGAGGGGGCATAAACAGCCCTCCTCCACCATATGTAGGGGCGGTGACAGAGGGTGCGTGTTCGGTGGCAGGACAAATTGGCCCCTTTTCTGCTGACCTGCATGCGCTCAGGCACTCGAGGCTAAAGTTCGCTTCCCAGTGGCCTGGCGCCCGCCCTCCTAGCAAAATGGTCGTAAAACGCATGCTTTACTTTCTCCCCCATGTGTGGGTGAGCGAAAATTACACCTCCCTCACAGTTATGAAAACATCCGGACACAAAGAAACTAGCTCTTTATCCTCCCCCTCCGAGATGAAGTGGTACCGTCCCTAAGTGAATCGCGGTTGGGTTGCGGTCGAAGCTCTCTGGATTATACTGGAGACTTCTATTGTGCAGGACGCTGCAAGGCTCCACAGGGAAGTTCTTTCTGTTACTGGTTAGTTTCTCTCCCAACTTCCAAACCGTCAGTGTTGGGAAAGAGGTGGTCAACATGCCATGTTCCGACTGGCGCTTTCTTAGAGTTAAGTGCTACTTGTAAGATTAGTCTTTTCGGCGACATTTGGGACTGATCAAAATAAACGCCAGCATGACAAGGCCATTATTTTAAAATCCTAGAGTAAAATTAAGTTTCTCTTGATAAAGTGGGATAGGTAAAATAGAACGACGTTGTTTATAAATACATTGACAAGGTGGTTAAGTTAGTTTCCCACTGTCTTCTTTAAAATTTAGCTTATTGCTTGAGTGGTGTCAACAGTGTGCATTCAAACAAAACCGGAACTCCTGATGCTACAAATGCATAGTGGAGGAAGTGTATTTTCCTCTTCTGATGAAAAGCGAATTCAGTGTAGTGGCATTTGATGTGGCCCTTCTGAACCAATCCTACACCAGAGCGTTTTACTTTGTCCTCGGGACTAATGTTGAATCATCGCGCTTCCGAGGCTTTCACACTGAAGTGTTTTATCCGCAATTCAGCAAACACAGGGGTTGTGGAGAAAC